ACTAAATCAAGCGAACGTCGTCTCGCAGCTTCACTGAAGGATTGCAGAGGCCCGACCTCGGCGCCTGCGAGACTTGGGGTAGGCCACCACGCAAAACACGCATGCAACGCGGGCACGATGTTGCCTATCTATCAGGCGCTATGAGAACTTGCGTAGGCTGCACCTGGCACTTCCGCGGAATTCCGTAGCGACGAATGACGGACGTGCTTTCTGGATGATCCCTTAACAGCTAATCCCCGACAAACTGCCATCCCCCGTCACTTTCGTGTTCATAGCACTGAATAGCGCAAAGCACCGAATCTGCTTGAGGCCCGTCATGCATTCCTCACCTGCGGCAATCCATGGCCTCGCCGGGGTTGGGGAACGGCAGGTAGGGCTTGTCGCTGAACTGGTAGGCCGCCCCCTCGCGCAGGCGGCCCCACTCGTTGGTCAGGTTGCGCAGCCCGCGCGCCTGCTCGTCCGAGAAGCCGTACACCTGCGACGCGTCCACGAAGGACGTGAGTTGGTTGATCTGCTCGCGGGGCTGCATGCCGTCAAACAGCACCGACGTCTGGCCAGAGCCGCAGATGGCGCTGCTGCGGATGAAGTCGATGCAGCGCCGGTTGTTGACGCGCGGGTCGTTGGGCGGCACCTCGATGGGGTAGCAGGGGGCGGCGTAGTCGCACGATCTGTAGACACAAGAGGGATTATAGGAGGTGCCGCAAGGTGAGGGGAGGCAGTCAACAACAACTCGAGGGGAGCAAATACGCACTTCTTGCAGTCGATGCCGTCCCAGCTGGTGCTGGTCTCCGAGGGGATGGCGTGGTCCAGGTCGTGGTCGAGGAACTGGCCCCACTGCATCACCATGTGCGTGATGCTGGGGTCGGGCGTGATGGCCTCAGTCTTGATGATGCTCGTCGAGACGAGCCGCGCCGAGGGCTTGGGGTAGCCGAAGTACTTGACGTTCTTGTTCCAGCCGATCGGCGTGCTCAGGCCGTTCTCGTACTGCGGCCGCAGCACTCGGCGGAAGCCGGTCAGCGACGCGCCCCACATCGGGTGCTGCAGGTTGTTGCAGGTGCCGTCCACCGTGCGGTACTTGAGGTGGAAGCACATGTCGGAGCAGTCCACCGTAGGCCTGTGTGCCATGCAGCCAGAGAGGTTGGCCACCAGCTGCAGCTGCTTGGGTGACAGCAGCTCCGTATAGTTGAAATCTATCCAAAAAGTGTTAGTTAGAAACAAAAAGATTTCCTTAAAAAAACGAAAAAAAAACTTGCGATAGGGTCCAACTAAGCGAACGCACTTACCCTGCGTGACGTTCATCTTCGATCCGGCCTCGACGTGCCTCCTGATGTTGATGAGGGTCTTCTCGAACACGTCCGCGGCCCTGGCCACGTCTCTGGCGCTTGCGTCCGGGAAGCGGATGGCGCGGTACAGCGTGGCGTGGTTACGCTCGGCCTGCTGGAAGGCGCGCAGCGTCGCGTTCACGGCGCGGTCCACGGCGAGCGACGCCTCGCCGAACGCCTGGCGCACGAACTGGTCGCCCGGGGCGGCAAAGGGGCCGCTGCCCGGGGCGGGCACGTCCCCCCTGACGGCCAGCAGACCCTTGGCGGACACCTCCTCGGCGCCGTCCGTGGCGATGCACTCGTACAGGCCGGCGTCCTCCAGGGTCACGTTGTAGATCCGCAGGCTGCCCACGCGGCCGACGCGCAGCCGCGGGCCGAGCGTGACGCTCTGGCCGTCCTTGCGCCACGAGAGCAGCGGCTGCCCGTTGTCGGCCTCGGCGCTGCACGGGATCTCCACGCTCGTGCCGACCATGGCCTCCATGTTGAAGGGGTGGTGCACGAGGCGCACGCGGCCGCGCGGCCGCGGGCCCTGCTGCTGCAGCCCGCCCAGGCCCACCACCTGCACGCGCGCCATGGTCTCGGCCGAGCCCACCGCGTTCTCCGCCCGGCACACGTACAGCCCGCCGTCGGCCTCCTTGGCGTGCTCGACGCGCAGCTCCTCCCCCGTGTTGGAGATGGTCGTCCTGGGGCTGCCGGCCGTCACGGTGCGCCCGTCCTTGAACCACGCCACCGAGGGCCTCGGCGAGCCGTCGACCCGGCAGCGCAGCAGCACCGTGCCGCCGGCCTTCACCGTCAGGTTGTCAGGTCGCGAGGAGATGCGGGGAGCCACTGCAAGCCGAACGGGGCGGGTGAGGAGGGCGTTGGTGGGAGAGGGGCGTCTGGAAGGGGCTCTACGACTACCTCAACCGACGGGGGGAAACACAGCAAATGACATTACCTCTCGGAATCGTTATGGTCTCTGAAGAAAGCAGCGTGAAAATAAAGCGGAAAGAGAATGTTTAGAGTAGACAGCTCTCCAGAGACAACCTCACCGCTCGCTCGCCTGGTGCTCACCGTTGATGGTGACGCGGGCCGAGGCGCTCGTCGACCCCACCGCGTTGCTGGCCGTGCAGCGGTACTCGCCGGCCTCGTCGGCGCGCAGCCCCGTCAGCACCAGGGTGCCGTCCGTCGCGATCTGCGGGACCACCACACACGTTTAGCCGAGGTCACTCTCGGGATCCCGCGGCGACACAGGCGCCCAACGTATAGTTAAAAATTGCCAAAATTTTCTGGAAAATTTCCGAAAAATCACCGAAAATAACGGAAAACTTCTTAAGTCTGGGACACTTCTTTCCCTGTTTTCCCGTAAATTTTTCCGTTTTTTCACGAAATTTTCCGGAAACTTCCCACGGCTTCCAACCCTAGCCCAACAGCACTCACCAGGGAGCGCGGCGAGTGCGCCACGGGCCTGCCGTTGTGGGTCCAGGACACGAGCGGCGGCGGCGTGCCCACCGCCCTGCAGTCCAGCGTCACCGTGTCCCCGGGCGCCACCTGCCAGTCGCGCGGCGGCCGGCTGATGTCCGGGCGCTCTGCGGCGGACAGACGGACAGGTTAGAGGGGACCCAAGCTCCACACCATGGAGTGCATCAGCTGGAAGACTCTACAGCACCCCTTTGAGGTGAGGTGTGGGTGCGAATTTCAAAGTTGTTAAGCACAATCATATTTAGAGGTAACAAATATGATTTATTAGAGTCTATCTATCGATAGTTTTGTTGGCGCTATTTTAATTTAGATTTTGAGTTTATCTTTGAAAAATCACACGTGCATTATGTGTCGCCCAAGCGACATGAAACTAGTCTTTAAATCACGCCATAGGCAACTCGTGGACACCCGGTAGGACAGTCACTCACCCCTCCGCTTGTTGGTGACCAGGCGCGCCACCCGTGACTTGGCCTCGCCCATGGCGCTCTTGGCGACGCACGCGTACGCGCCCACCGGGTCCATGGAGGGCGCCTCCACCATGAGGGTGCCGTCCGACATGAACTCGTAGCCGGGCTCGCCGGGGTTCATCTCCTCTTGCCTGCACATTCGGGGGAAAATAACACACGGGTTTATTTATCGAAATATAACGGAGAGGAGTAATCTAATTCTCGGCACCTTTTATTTTCTTTCGATGCCCCTCCACTGCGAAACAGAATTAAAATTCTCTTTGAAGTACGGCGAGTTTGCGTCGCGCGTCGTATGCGAAAAGCGTTTGTGTGTGAGAAAGAGAGAGACAGGTAGTCATTGGAAGCTCAATTATATGTAATTTTGTTGCGCGGCAGTTCCGCTCAGTGCAAAGCGAGAAACAGGGAAACAAAAATTGAGAAAAAGTATGGAAAGAGGGAGAGAGAGAGAGAGAGAGAGAGAAAGCGCGAGAGAGAAAAAAATTATAATAATAAGGCTGGAAAGCAAAGTGGGTATATAGGCAGGCTCCACTGGCTCTCGCCTCGCAGCAGTGCTCATCTCTATAGGAACGCTATGAAAAGGCGGTAGGAGGCAGAGTCCTGAATCCCCACGGCAGCCAACAGCACCCAGTAAAAAGAATGATGTCAGCAGACGCACAATCGCCCACGGCAGAGGGGTGTGGCGGTAAAGGGGGACAAGGAGGGAGAGAGCATATCAAAAGCACACATCTCTCTATCTCTGTCTCTGTCTGTCTCTCTCCAACACACACACCCTCTGTAAATTATCCATCGAAAGAAAAAGAGGTATAGGATATTGTGTGTGTGGCCGGGGAAAGGGGGGGGGGGGGTACTACATGTGTCTTTGTATGGCGGGGAAATGGAATGGTATGTGCTGGTGAAAGGAATGGAGAAAGGTAGGTTTTGGAGTGTCCACCCACGTGCGTCTCTGTGCCGGCGATACTCGCTCGCCCTCTCTACTCACCCCTCCTTGAGCCACACGATGCGCGGCTGCGGGTCGCCCTCCGCCTGGCACTTGAAGTACACGGGGCCGACGTAGTCCAGCTCCACGTCGTCGGGCTCCTTGACGATGCGGGGCTTACCTGAGACACAACAGCGCTCGGTTAGAAATGTAACCGTTAACAACAAAAGCACACCCTATCAACACTAGAGAAAACATGCAAAAGTTTACATTAGGTGTAGACATCCTTGAACATGGACGCTTCGTTCGGGTTGGGGGGAAGGGGAGGGGGGGAGCTTCCATCACCGCATAAGGGACGGGCGGCGCCTGCAGACCACGCCGCACTGGCGACAAACACCCGAGCAGTCTAAACATGACCACGGTCGACATTTCGAAGAAGAGCGCCTGCGCCTCACTCAGCCGACGATAGGATAGCGCATCGCGGCATTTCCAACTGGGCAAGCTAGCGGACAGGGTCGGGCTACTCAGCGGTCCGCGCGTGGCGTGGCGTGGCGTGGCGTGGCGGGGCGCGGGGCGGGGTCTGGCGGGGGCCCGAGGCGGGCAGACACCTCAGCCGGGCGGGCGATCGGGTGGCCTACCCTGCCGACCACAGGCGTCCCTGGGAGACGTGCGCGGCGCCTGGCGGTGGCGGCGGGGCGGTGCGGCGGGTCTGGTCGGGCCCGGGTCAGACGAGACACACTTCCAACAACAAAACGCGGACCCCACCGTACTTTCAGTACTGTACATTTCTTGTCCTTGCCGTGGCAAAGGTGGGGGGTGGGGGGAGAAAGAAGGAAGCGGGCGCCTCCCGGCAGCAGCGGCGCAGACGGGCGGGACGGGACGCCCCATGAAAACGTCCTCCGCACAAGAGGGCGGCGGCGGGCGAGGCGGCGGGGGTCAAGAGCAACTAACTCGAGCGGTCTGCAAACTTCATCGCCGTCTGGTAATGTTGTTGCTGGCTGCCGTCAAGTGCCTCGCGCGCCCACCCGCGCGCGCTCCCCGCGGCCCACCGCACTGTTTGTTGATGCTTCGATGACACTCACGGCTGCGCTGGTATTTCTGCCGTGACGGGGCGGGGCGAGCCACAGCATTAGCAGCGCGAGTGGGCCGCCCCACTAGCACCTTTACCCCGGGTAATCACCCTCATCCATTGCAGGGCGAAGCGGCAGAGCGCCGCCGCCGCCCCTCCTATAAACGACCCGATAGCCGATTGGCCGGGAGTCAAGTGGCGCCGCCAGCAGCGCCGCCGCCACGGTGGTGGTGGTGTGAGGGTGAAAGTGGAAGTGAATCCGAGCGCGCGCGGTGGGGAAGAGGAGGGCGCGAAAAAAATAGGTTGGTCAGGACGGGTTAGGGGCGGCGGCGGCAGCGGCGGCAGCGGCGGCGTGCGAGGCGAGGGGTGGTGGCCGGCGGCGGTGCGGGGTGGAGTCCGCAGAACAAGTTGATGAGACCGAATGAGCCAGGGCTGCCACCGAGGCTGCCACCTCGGCCAGTTTATACGGGTGCGTCCCGGACCGCTGGGGGAGCATCCATTACGCCAACACCCTACTAACTCGGCGCGGGCGAGAGAACCAGCAGCCCTTCGGGTCGTCCTCGGCTCGGCCATGAGCGGCTCGGCTCGGCCCGTTCCCGCCGCGCCGCGCCGGGGAGACCCGCAGCGCTCAGTGTGACTGAAGCGGCGGGAGGGCGTGGGGCTGATTCTACTTTGTGTTATCTCAGCATCTGATAGATGACCAGGTCGTTTGCGTGGGCGCAGAGCAGCGAGCGCCTACTACGGCCGCGCCTGCGGGGGTGTCCCCATGGGTGCGCCTCTCACGGTAAAAAAGACGTCTGTTCTTATTTTATTTTTTAATTATTTTTTTTAGGGAAAAGTGGAAACTTTGAGGAACTTCCGAGGGAACTGCCCTTGGTTTGACGAAAACTCCTCAGGTTTTCGAGGAAGTCTCCTAAAAAATTGTGCGATTTTCCCCTCATTTTTGAAAAGATTCTTCAAAATATGAGGCGAGATCGGAGGAGTTTTGCTCAAATATGGGAGTCCCTCAAAATTTTCCCTTTTTCCTCAAAAAAATAAAAATTAAATATAAGACGTAGGTCGTTTACACCGTGCTGGCAAAGTTCCCCTTTTCTTATTCTTACCCTTGTCCTTTTTTTTTTCGGTAGCCGCGTGGGCGAGCACTACCCAACTGCTGTGCGCTGAGAGTCGCGCACCATAAAAACGCAACCAAAGACAAGCAAATGAGATTAAGTTACTTACTGCAGTGGAAGTCGGACTCGCGCAGCTCGGCCACGGGGCGGCCCTGCAGCTGGGGCGGCGAGGCGCAGGTGGCGGCGCCCTGCACGCCGCGCTCGCGCAGTAGCCGGGCCAGCCAGAGGGCGTTGCAGTCGCACACCAGCCAGTTGTTGTCCAGCCGGCTGTGTGAGAGCGGGAGAGAGAGAGAGACAGAACATTAGCGGACATGATAAGGGTTGCTGACCTGCTCCCTTATTGCGGGGACTTGCCCCCCAAACCATGAGACCATTTTAATTTGCTGGGGTTGGTTTCATTGACGGACACAGCAGACCATGATGAAAGTATTTCCTCTAAACTCATGTGGTTTGGGCGCACAACCCTTTCAGCCGTATTCGGTCTAAGTGCTGCTCGTTCGGGTAGGAACAGGTAAGGTTTGGGATGGGGGTGCGAGATGCCGCATACCGGCGTGCTCACATACACCAGAAGCAGCAGCAGCAGCAGCAGCAGCAGCAGTGTGCT